CCCTCGGTACGCCACTGATATCGTCGTAATTCCATTAGCTGTCTTTGCACTATGAACATCCTATCATGTTCCTATGCTAGTTCGTTCGAAGTTGAGAGTCGGTTCCATCTGAAGAAATGCAATACATGTGTATCTTTCACGAAAAAAATTAATGCAGAAACCTACTGAGAGACCTGACAACTCCAACTATCAACACATTGAAAAATTGATATCTTTTCTGGAACAGATTTAGGTGAAGAAGAAAAGATTCTGAAGACAAATCTGTATGTAAACCTAAATGAAGTGCAGGTCGCAAATAGTCTATAGATTTCCAGCCACCAAAACAAAAGACAGGGGCTTTTGGGGGTAAATGGGTATTTTATAAACTTCCGGATGAAAATCAATTTGCACAAACAATTTTCCCCGAAGTAAGTCAACTTTAGAAATTTTTGAGCTGGGGCGGAAGTGAGTGTTAGAATTCTGTAGCGGTTGACAATTCGGTACCCTTCGTTAGAGCCTGAAAGATTGAAACTTGTTAGCTTGGTCCTCCCGAATGCCTTCAGCACAGGTACTTTAACCACGGGGAATGTAAAGACAACTACCCAAATTCGGTGTTCATCACCACTGCAGTCTTTCGATTAGGTCACCAGTTAGCACAGTTTTATATACATGATGGCCCGTCTTCCAACTTCTGAGCTAGTCCGCACGTGACATGCGTCCCAGCTTAAAACTTTTGATGCCCCCTCTCTTCAGACATACACGATTTTCGCGGTTCTCGTCGGTGGTTGTGTTCTGCAGGTGCGGCAGCATATCCAGCTGATTTCTTAGCTGCTCCATTCGTTCCTCAACCCCGTCTGTACATCTCGTTTGTGGTCTTTCCTCGGGTAGGTGTGGCTTTGCGAGGATTTCACGATGTTCTCACCGTCCATGTGTCGTTTGTTCTTCTCATGATGTGACAGGCCCATCGACGCTTCACTTCCGCAGCGTGTTCCGCTGGGATCAGAAGACGGGACATACTTCGTATCCGCACTGCCAATTCCGACAAGATGTTCTTTGTATCGGGTCATCTTCAGAAAACTGCACTCTAGCACTCTGTGGGTGGTCTTTAATGGGGTAGAGGAACCAACACCTCAATTAGGCACCGCCTCAGTGGACCACTGCTCCTAACACGATGCAAACAGTAGGATCAAAGGACCAGCAGCCCGCGGAGGCGTTACCTGACTGAGGTGTTCGTTCCTCTATCCTCTTTAGAGCTTTCGACCTGGCTATATGTCAGACCAAATCTCGGCTGTGTAATATAGCGCCAGAAGAACGGTTGAGTCGAACAGGAGGACACAAAGCTCCGGGTCCGTTAGTGAGAGCTGTCCAGGGTGCTCTTCTTCTCTTGTTAAAGATAGTGGCTCGGCAAATCTCGACCTAATCAAATTCTTGCTTACCTGGGGTAATCCATTACGTTGATCCTGAAAATCCTTTAGAGGGCTTGAAAACGGCGAAAACGAGCGTTTCAAATGTCCTTCGCTTTATAATTGGACGAGTGGAGCAAGGCTGATGACGCTAAATCATTGCACAACCCAATGTGTCGCGGCAGGCAGCCTCTAATGGTGAGATGGAAGTTCCAACTTGTCCGAGCGCGTGTAATATTGGCCTGCGCGAGTAAGTTTGAGAGCAATTTTCTCGGCAAGGAAGGCATGCTGTGC